TTAAATTTTTTAAAATGATATAATTTTTTTTTGTTTTAGTATTTTGAAGTTGACCAATTGTTACTATAAGCAATTAAATGATTATAGATGATCTGCACCGTAATAATAATGGGAAGTTCATGTGACCATTTTAAAATGGAAGAGATTTTCAAAATATTTTGAAAATTTTGGCCCGTTTAGATTTTTTCCAGAATTAGAATATTTTCACAAAATCATTTTTAAGATACGTGTAACCGCGTCAAGAAATTATATAGGATATTCCTTTCTTTAAATGAAAATTTCATTATTAAAATTGCATTCATATATTTTTCTAAAATTAAATATGCCACCTAAAAAAAAGAAAAGTTCGGCTAGGCCTGAAAAAAAAAAATTAAAGGAAGAAAATAATTCTGATAAATCCAATAGCTCCCATTAACGCAAATGTTGTAGATTTATGAATGCTTGTAGATAGGGCTTAACAGGAATAGATGTTTTATATGCTGTAAAAAGATATAAATCACATAGAAAAATTCCAAATGTCGTCAATAATTTTTTTAAAATGAAAATCACATATGATCCTCCGTTACATTTCGTTACTATATAATTAATTACAATATTTTGAAACAAGACATTTTTTGGGATTTGACCATTGGTGGCTAAATAAAAATAATTTTTTTGGTGCTAAATCGAAAAGAAGATCTTGGAATATTATAGTTTATATGGCTTTTTTTATATTTTATTTATCGTAAAGATTCTTACGTCATATTTGATTTAATGGTAGTGATAGGACGTAATAGTTTTATAGGACTGGCGATATTTTGTCAAAGAGAATTAATTCGGTAAAATTGAAAGAGAAATTTTTTATTATCTAATATTTCTATTGGGGCGTTTGCAATATTTTGAAATTGTACGACAAATTCATTTTATATTTAGCTGAAATTTCGTTAACAAATTTAGAAACTCTCCAAAAATTAAAAATTTGATTGGGTGTGTAACATTGCACTCCATTGAATTTTTCATTCTATTTACGATGAGACAAATAAATTTTATATATAGGTTTTGTTTTTTTTTTGAAATCATAATAATTGAAAACAACTACTTTATAAAGTAACAATAATTTAATTTTTGTAACATTGATTATACTTGCCTTTTTAGACTTTTCGGTTCTCAATATATATAAATTCAATTCTACTATTCACATTAAAAATAATAAAAACCAATCGACGAACAAAAAAATGTGCGACAAAAAAAAACTATGGTTTCAATGGTGTTTTGCCGTTGTATCATCTTTATTACTAGGATTTCCCTCTGCGTTGTCGTTTCTAAAGCTAACTCAAGAACAGCCTGCTATGATTAGCACCCTTTCAACAATTGCGAGCCTACCTATTCCAGGTAAAGTAATTTTTTTGAGTTAAACACCCCAAAATCAAATGACATGTTCTCTAATATCAAAACCACGAAATCAATGCAGATATTTATTTAGCCTATAATGGAACATTTACAATCACTTGTACTAAAGGTTCCAGTAGTGTTGGTAAGAAGTGTTTAAGAAGTGTTTCAATTGCTTTAATAATTGATTGTTTTATTTCAACATATCTATCTGACTCAAAATGTTTCAAAAGAAGGCGATTGTAATGACTATATTACACAACCAACTCGTGGCGATAATCCTAATCTTCAATATGCTGGGAAGTTTTTACCAAAAGACCAAATAAGTTTGTTTCCTAAGGGTATTGGAAGTAATTTTATTATACTTAGGATAAACGTTGATAAACCAACCTCTCCAGGAAATTTCGTGTCAATGCATGCATTTGATACAGGCAAGTGTTTTCATAAAATTGGGGTCTTGATTATAATAATAGCAATAGTAATAATATGGTGATAAATAAATAGATTATGATCCGTGGAGTGAAGGTTCAGTTGCTCATACCAACAATGAAAACGAGGAACTATTTACCGAGTCTCTCGGCTATGCAAATCGATATTATTTATCAGGCGATCTTGTACGTGTGCTTGAGAACATCATTTAGAAAAGAAGAGATGATTTGCAATATTAATAAATCATTATTAAAAACAATAGGATTATCATTTAACGTATTCTAGAAAAGTTAGGAAAACAATAGCTAATACGAATTTAAATTTTATTGGCCTTAGTCTTGGTCTCGAAACAGATTACAACACACAAAATTACATTGAATCAAAAATGCGTAAGGATATTTACTTTTTTATTTATTTTATCATCATGTGTATTTATTTAACCTTTTTTAATATTTGTTACCACAGAAATTTTTCCGAAAGATGGCCTCAACTCACCTTTTATAAAATTGGAGATCTCTCCACAAAACTTTATTTCAGAAGAATTTAAAGAGCAAAGGTAAAAACTACCTATTTTATTATGTTCCTTGTCAACAAATTCTCACGTACAACTTACAAATAACATATAATAGGAGTAATACGGTTATATCCGTGTTGGGGACTATTTTTGGTTATTATAGTGTCATGATGGCACTCTATTCATTTTTATTTAGTAAGTTGGCTTTTTTGAATTAAACCATTGTGTTTTTATAATTTGCTTACTTGTTTTAAAAATTCTTAAGACCCAGATAAAATTACTCTGGAGGATCTTTTAGAAAAGTTCAAAAGGAATAGGAGGGAAAATGATGAAACCAACAATACAGAGACTTCCACTCCGGGTCAAGTAGAAGTTTTCCCTACAATTTCAAGGTCAACCTCTTCTTCGAATCTAACAAGAGTCTCATTAGAAAATATACAGGTATCTATAATCAATTAATTGCTTATAGTAACAATTGGTCAGCTTCAAAACACTAAAACAAAAAATTTTTATATCGTTCAAAAGTTTACCGATAAGTCTCATTGTTTACGATTCAAGTCTCAAAACCAATCGGCTAGTTTTTAAATTAAAAATTGGCATTTTGAAAATTCCAAATTTTGTTATATGCTTTAGAAATAAATTTCGTGTAATTTTTTTCTATAGAATATTTATAGAACATATATTGATTTATTTGAATTATTTATTATTAATAATAAAAATTTCTTTGTTATATATATTACAATAAAAAAATTTAATGAACATATTACATCAAAAAGAAAATCATTTTAAAGCTAGATTGAATGGCGGTGGTTTTTTAAAAATCCAACATGTAGATCACATGATATTCCAAAATTTGAGTATATGTAGATGATCCGCACTGTAAAATAGTAAGAATGAATGAAGAAGGGACGGATGAATTCATCGCAACAATAACTATGACAAGTCAAAGTAATAGATCTGTTTTTATTGAATTTCCAACTTTTCTGAATTTAATGTTGGTGTTTATTAGTATTAGTATTAGATTGCCACCATTGGCCGTTTAACCGTTTTGACCAATTTAAACGGGTTTGTCAAGATACCATTATATTAACATACAAAAATTATAAAATTCCAGTTCAATCTGCGGCTAAACTGACAATCATGAACCGAACAGCTTCTATCCCTATTCATGCAACCATACCAATAGATGAGAATATCTTTTCAGAAGATCAAGTATATACGTTGCTCTAAGCAGAGCAAATTTTTTAGATAGGCTTCAGATCTTAAAATTAAATTATTCTTAAACGTTCCAAAAATGTTGCAGTGCATTAAAGATGGTTTAATCCAGTTTTCTGAAATTTAAAAGGAAAAACTCCAGATAGAAGATATTATAATTTTAAGATTGAAATAAAATAATAGATAACTCGATATTAAGCAGAATTAAAGTTTTTAATATGCATTATATCATAATAGTAAAAATTCCGTGAATCTTTATACCAGTAGTATTTATAATAAACCTTATTTAATTTATACAGTTATATAAATAGTTTGAGACTTCAACGTAAAGCTAAAAGTCATTTTTTGTTAGGGGATTAGAAATATATAAATTGGTAAAGAAAAATTAATGGTTTAAAACATTTCCATTTTAATTTTTATTAAAAAAAAATATATATTGATATTTAGGGTTTTACAAAGAATCTGTTCATTGGAAACGAAGATGCATATGATATTTTATCATTGTGAGTTAAAAAGTAATGTCATATTAGTAGTATTATGCAAATACTGATGCACGTTTTTTTTTAAACTAATATTTTATTTACCGAGTTTGAAATAAAGACCAAATGTCGGAGACTACACAAAACTGGTCTTTGCAAATGCCAAATTTAAAAAGATTTTCTCCAATAATACAACCACAGTGTGATCAACTTTATATCAAATTATATTTTTTATTACAGACCTATCTATAAAAATTTCGGGAACCTGTAATATCTCTAACTGCATTACACTATAATATACTACACTCTTCCCTCACTTTGCTCGCGGCTCTATTTAAAAAATAAGCAATTGTGAGTGATTTAGTCACAATATTAATATAATTGCAGCATTTTATCAATAGCCCACATAATAGATATTGGGTTTTTGGTGTCAAATTGAAGAGAAGATTATTTTTTTTTTATATTTTATTAGACTTCAAAGCAATCTATTTACCATCAAGAGTTTTTACTTACGTCAAGGTTCTTACGTCATTTTTGACTTAATGGTAGTGATATGAAGTATTGATGTTAGCCGATAGAAAACCTTAGCCGGCTAAGAACTTAATAAATCCCAGTTGATGAAAAACCTTTTCAGATGATACTAAGCTTGCCGGTATTATTATTACTATTATTTATTATTATTATTATAATATCTGCCTTTAATGGTTCAAATTATTTGTTTTCGTTATGAATTCGAGTATTCGAATTACATTGGAAGTTTTATTCGAATAAACTAACAAAACGAGTAAGCGAATAATTCGAATAGAACGAATTAAAATAAGAATTTGTATTACAAATAGAAACTCTATGGCTTTTATCATTCAAAGTGAATGCAGGTGGATCCATCTCAACTAAATGTCTATGCCACTGAATTCTGCACTAAAATTCCAGACGTATAAGAGAAATTTTTTTAGCCAGCTAAGTCGTTTAAAAATTCTTTAGCCGGCTAAGCCGACAAATTTCTTAGCCGGCCAACATCATTAATATGAAGTAATAGATTACAACTGATGACATTTTGTCAAAGAACATATCGAAGATCCTTATTGAGATGTTTTGCAAATATTTTGAAATAATGTTACTATTAATTTTGCAGCGTATTAAGAAAAACGGCGTTTTTATGTGATAAAAAATATACCAAAGAACTTAGATAATGTAAAATTTTTGAAGTATATTGTTATATAGGCTTTAGAGCATTTATTAAAGAAATTCAAAATAACCAAATTTCTTTATTTTCAATTGACAAAGTTCCAGAAAATCTGGAAGATTATAGGGATATTCAGTATGGTATGGTATCGTATAAGTGTAATAAAATGTTTGTATACCAATGCTTAAATCTAACATGCTTGCTTCCCTTCACCCCCCAAAAAAGGATTTATAATAAAGCTTGGCATGGAAAAATATGTACCATCTTTGAGTTATACCATTCCCTACCGAATCTGGAAATATGAATTTTATATATATTAATATTAATATACATATTATGTATATTTTTGATTATTAAAAAAATCCATGTTGACAAAAATTTAGCAAAGTTGGAAAGTTGTTAAAAATAGTATTTCATTTCTATTTTCTTTTATGATGTTCTGATATATGCACCATAACTAATATATACAAGAAAATTTAATTCGTGATACATTCCATTTATATTGTTAGATAAAGAAATTTTTTTTTATTTGGAAAGCGTGACAACTTAATAAATATTCTTTAATATTGCTTATAAAGCAAATTAATCGTTTAATTCTTGGTAACACTGATTATACCTGTCTCTTTAGACTTTCGGTTGTTAATTTGGAGAGAAATATAAATTCTTCCCTTCTTTTCATTATAAATACAATTCTACTACTATTCACATTTTATTAAAATCAATCGACGAACAAAAAAAATGCGTGACTTAATCAACAAGCCAGAATTCGAAAAATCATGGGTTTTTCGTCTTCGACGGTGTTTTGTAGTTGCATCATTTTCATTGCTAGTTTTTTTCGTTGTGTTGTTGTTTCTAAAGCTAACTCAAGAACAGCCTGCTATCATTAACACCCTTTCAACAATTACGAGCTTACCTGTTCCAGGTAAAGTAATTTTTTTGAGTTAAACACCCCAAAATCAAATGACATGTTCTCTAATATCAAAACCACGAAATCAATGCAGATATTTATTTAGCCTATAATGGAACATTTACAATCACTTGTACTAGAGGTTCCAGCAGTATTGGTAAGAAGTGTTTAAGAAGTGTTTCAATTGCTTTAATAATTGGTTGTTTTATTTCAACATATCTATCTGACTCAAAATGTTTCAAAAGAAGGCGACTGTAATGACTATGTTACACAACCAACTATTGACGATAATCCTAATCCTCAATATGCTGGGAAGTTTTTACCAAGAAACCAAATAAGTTTGTTTCCTAAGGGTGTTGGAAGTAATTTTATTATACTTAGGATAAACGTTGATAAACCAACCTCTCCAGGAAATTTCGTGTCAATGCATGCATTTGATACAGGCAAGTTTTTTCATAAAATTGGGGTTTTTTGATTATAATAATAATAATATGGTGATAAATAAACAGATTATGATCCGTGGAGTGAAGGTTCTGTTGCTAATACTAACAGCGAAAACGAGGAACTATTTACCGAGTCGCTCTACTATGCAAATCGATATTATTTATCAGGCGGTCTTGTATGTGTGCTTGAGAACATCATTTAGAAAAGAAGAGATAAATAAATAAATGTAAATTTGCAATATTAATAAATCATTATTAAAAACAATAGGATTATCATTTAACGTATTCTAGAAAAGTTAGGAAAACAATAGCTAATACGAATTTAAATTTTATTGGCCTTAGTATTGATCTCGAAACAGATTACAACACACAAAATTACATTGAATCAAAAATGCGTAAGTTTTTCTTATTTTTTTATTTTATTTTATCATCATGTGTATTTATTTAACCTTTTGTTACCACAGAAATTTTTCCGAAAGATGACCTCAACTCGCTTTATATAAAATTGGAGATCTCCCCACAAAACTTTGTTTCAGAAGAATTTAAAGAGCAAAGGTAAAAACTACCTATTTTATTATGTTCCTTGTCAACAAATTCTCACGTACAACTTACAAATAACATATTATAGGAGTAATACGGTACAGTACATCTTAATACCGATGTTTTAATATTACAAATAGTGATTATCTATCATTTGGGTATATATAGGTTATATCCATACTAGGAACTATTTTTGGCTATTATGGTATCATGATGTCTCTTTATTTATTTGCATTTAGTAAGTTGTCTTTTTTTAAGTAAACTATTTTGTATTTGTAATTTGCTCACTTATTTTAAAAAATTCTTAGGATCAGATAAAATTACTTCAGAAGGTTTAGTAGAGTTCAAATGCCGGGGGTTCAAAATCAACGATACTCCCACCGCGACTTCAATAGCAGCTTCCTCTTCGAGTGTAACAATAGTTTCCGTTGCGGGTTCATCATCTGACACAATAGAAAATAAGAATGATTAATTAAAGAAGAATGGCAGATGGATTCACCACAAGCAATATCCATGACAAGTCAAAATAGATTGATAAATTGTAGATTATAACTTGTATCAGGGGGGTGTAATTTTTAAATAAATTATTAACAATTATTAAAAAACTGAAAAATCATGTTATCAATCTTATTGTCTTTGTTTCTTTAAACTTGCATTCGTTCGAAGTAAATATTTGTGGGAAAACTTTTATTGTTTGCTTTTAGATTTTCTTGGCTTCCTAAAAAAACCAGTGTAACAAAAGGCAAGTCTAAAAGTGTGTAAATTATCAAACAGATTGCTATTCAATATACGATTTTGGTTTTTCAATTGTTCTTTATTTGGAACAGGCAGAGCTTTTTTTTTTTTGCTAATTACTTTCTTCTCAGTCGTTTGATTTATATGTGGAGATTTTCAATAATTGTCCGTTATATGAATTTAATTAAGAAGGAGTTTGATATATATAGAGCGTTGACCGTTATATCGAGAGTCATTAGAACTATAAAAAAACTGACATTGAATTGTGTAACGAATATCTTGACTTTTTAATAACTCCATAACGATTTTTGG